AGAATTTCGGGTCAATTTTCGGATTTTGACGCGACCCATGTGACATTGGTACTTCTCTGTTAATAAGTATAGAGATACTTATAGATATTCACAATAAAGAATTGTAGAGAAAATGTAAAATTGTTTATAAATATACCCATCGTATAGATTATGATTTACAAAATAGAATTTTGTGTTTTAAAATTCTAAAATTAGACGATTCATGGGAATTAAAGCAGTCAAAATAGGTCAAAAACTGCGGGTCGAGCCCACATCATCTCACTATGGGGCAGATTTGGGAAAATATATTAAACCCGCAAATAAGCGGGCCACATGGATTAATTCGAAGTGGGTCATAGGTTTAATCGGTTTTCATCCGCAGGTTGGCGGATCAGCCCGCATATTAGTATTTATTGATAAAATTATAATTTATTCAACATGTGGTAATTTAAACAAACTTTTAATAGTATTTTTATTTATTTATTTATTTTAGTAGTATTTTAAATTTTGGTTACTTTAAAATTATTTAAACAAAATCCATGGACAATCCCGCAAATCCGCATACATTCGCGGGACGGGTTTGTATTTCATATATCTTTCAATTAATGATAATTCGCTAAAATGAGCGAAATTAATAACAAAAACGTTGATTGTTATGAAATTAGTCCCAAAAATATATGAACAAATTTATTATACGTAATTAATGTATAATATTGTTCGGAATATGCTTTTATTTTTAGTTACCATAAGTATAATAAGATTTTATTTGATTTCCATAAATATTTGATGTTATTTTGATTTTTCGTTATTAATTCGAATTTATATTCCAAAAAAATTTCAAAGATCCGATTTCAGAAATTGGGTCAATTTTCTGATTTTAACCCGACCCATTTTCATTTGTACTTCTCTTTTAATAGTATAGAGATATAATAAATCACAAGTCAATTCACCAAAAACTGCAACCCTCTCCTTTTGACACGTGGTTTAAGTATCAAATTTTAGCCTTTCACTTTTCTAAACGTAAACCTAATTATTCAAGAAGCAAAAAAGAAAAAAATCAATTAAAAAAATATAGTTTCTTCAACTGCTCCACGAACTCTCCGCCCACAATCTCATCTTCCTGTCACTAATATAATTCTCACTTCATAAAAAAATAAAACTTAATCCTCTTTTTGCTTCGTCTTCCCATCAAAAGCCAAAAATTCAATAATCTAGATCCACGGAGAAAACGAAGGAGGCGAGATTGAATCGAAAGAAAACGAAGGAAATAAAATTGTTGGCAAAAAGGTATGATTCTTCACTATGGAGGAACCTAAATTATGATCCAGATAACGTGGGCGTTAGTTTTGTCTATCAACGGTTTGTCAAAATGCATGACAGAAAACTCTAATTTCTTATGTTTCTAATATAGAACCACTTAGTTGACGAACTAAATTAGATATCTATTTTATTTTCTGATGCTTTTTGTTTGTTGTGGCCAAAATTTTGCAGAGAGGATTTAGAGGGTGACATTGAAATCAACAAAAAATCTCAGCATTCAAGTATAAAACCAGAGGAAGTCTTAGCTCTAAAGTAGATTGTTTGTGGCGATATTCTGTTATAACACCAAAATTTGATTCCTTCAACTCTTTTCTTTCCAGGTTTTCCAATAATGTTTGATGTGTATAGCTCTCATTAATAAATCATTTTTGCATACTGTAACAAATTCTAGAGTTAAAAGGCATGCCTAATTCTCCAAAGTTTGTTTTTATGAATAAATCTGAACAGTTTTTATTCCATTTCTCCCATGGACTTAGATCTTTAGTTATGAAATTGCATTCGGATGTATCAATCTTTCATACCTAATTCTTATTGTAAAATTGTTTACCTTATGATTACAAAATTTAACGTTAAAAGTTTTTTAATATTTACTAATGAATACTACAGTTTCTCAATACATGAAGGCTTTGATTTCAACCTTCACAAACAAGAACATCAAGATTAT